AGGATTTTATATAAATAAATACACCATACCATACGTACAGACAGGAATGAAAAAAGTAAAAAAAAGTTGAAAGTTAAGTTAAGTGAGGATGATGAAGATCAAACGATACAAAATTTTCCCATCCTTTGAAACGAAAAGAAAATAATAAAATAAATAAAATTGAATAAAAGAAAGAAGAAGATGGAAAAAGAGAAACATTGAGGGAGTGGCGGTGGAATCGACATAACTCTTTCACGTATAATAATAGCAACAATAAGGGAAATGTTAAGTGGAAAAAGAAAATCTCGACAGAAAATTTTCCGCTGTGCTTCTTTAAGAGACTGTAAATCCCTTAAAGCGGAAAAACTTTGTGTAATATTTGAATTTTTGTTTAAAATCCTACTCGAAATGTCAAAGAGTTGTTAACTGATGATTTTTTTTCTCTTTGCATAACTCTTTGCACGATATTTATTTACTAATAATAAAGGGAAAGAATTGAAAAAATCGTAATTAAATCGTACCTTTTGCCTTTGAGATGTTCGGCTGAAGAAAAAAATTCTTTTTCATCTTTATAATAACACAAGAGTTATAATTTTTGTTTAAAATCAACCCTTTTCATCTTATTCATACTTGTAGCATAAAATTCTTCTTCTTTTAAGTTTTGAAATTTTAGATACAGCAAAAAAAATTGAGGAGAAAGAAAGTTAAAATTCATTCTACTTTTCATATTCTTAAGATTCATTGGAGTAAGGTTGTGGCACTAGAAACAATTTTGGTGTAGTTTCACACCCCTTTTAAGTATTTTTTTATTATAACAGCTTTAGGCACCTTTAAAATTAAATCGAATATGTCCTAAAATTAGAGTCTTAACATAGAGCACTTAAAAGCACTTAAATCATTTCATATCATCTTAGTTTGATACCCCTTAGAAAAAAAAAATCATCAAAATTAATCCAAAAAAATAGACAGATCAGTGACGAATCCTTAAAAACATTCACAAACTTTACATCATAAAAAACTTTTGCCTTTACTCAACTTCTTCAATTTCTTCTAGTTCTATTCTCTTTAAAAAGTTTGTTGTAATTAATTTTAATAATCTGACAATTTTTCAAAGCCATAAGAAAGAGATGGAAAATCAAAAATGAATAAAAGGGTGTGAGGAGGTTGGGTTTTTTTGGCAAATTATCTTAGCACATAGACATGCTATAAGCTGTATAGATAAGAAAAATGAATTTATCTTCCGGACAAGAACTAATAATAATAGTTTTTTTCCTTCCTTTCTCACTTCTCTTTCGTCTTCAATCCTTTTCGTTATTGATTTTCCATCACAATACAAGATTTTTCCATCTCTCCCACATTATTTTCTTATTATTGTTTTATAGCTTCCATCATGATACTTCATGATGATGAAGATGATGATTCCGTAATAATAACCAGCAATTCAACACTTCATTCAATGTTGCCATTATAAAAATAATCACAACTCTTGAATACACAAGAAGGAATAAAATGTAAAGTGTTATTTCCATTCATGTTGAAAATAAATCAATGAAAAGTGAGTGAGTGAGTACGGGAGTCAATAGAGCATTTAATGAAAAAAAAAAGTTGCGAAAGAAAAGTTAAAAGTCTCGAAGAATAGGAATGAGTGGATTTTGGGTGGATGGACGGAAATGAAATCGAAAGATTTATTGCCAACCGCTGGGGAAACATCAGGCAAAGATGAAGTAAAAGGAAAAAAGGAAAAACTTATTATCTGCTTGCAGCACTTTCCCTTCATCATCATCTCTCACTCACTCTCTCATGAGAGGTCAAACATCATCGTTGGCTGTCATATCTATCTACTTTTAATAATAATAATAATCAGAGATCGAAGCCGCCGGTATTTAAGCCAGCGGCGGCTTAAATTTGGCTTAGATAAGCTGGATTTTTAAGCCGACTTATAAATCAGCTTATGCAAGTCGATTTTTAAGCTCGGCTTAGAGATCGACTTGCATAAGCTGATTTATAAGTCGGCTTAAAATTTCAGCTTATCTAAGCTGGATTTTTAAGCCGACTTACAAATCGGCTTATGTAAGCCGATCTCTAAGCCGAGCTTAAAATTCAGCTTATCTAAGCCATTTTTTAAGCCTCGACTTAGCCGATCATTTAAAATAGCAATTTTTAATATGAATAGTATTAGTTGCAAGAAAAATTTAACGTTTTATTAATATATATTTCGAGAATGCTAACAAACGAAATGATTGTTTCATAAAGGTTACATTATAGTTTTAAATAAAAAAAGCATTGGAAAATCGAAAAAGTTTAATAAAGTTATTTTTGGAGTTGAGAATAATAGAAATCATAGTTAGCATTAATGAAAAGTTGCTTCTGTGCTCTTACTGGATTAAGCTTCGAACGTTTCTTGTTCAATAATGCTCCACTTAAGGAGAAAGCATGTTCACAGAAAGAGGAAGTTACACTTAAGCCTAGCATGGTACGAGCTAAATTGTATAGGTTCGAGATATTTTGCTTATTTTGCTTCCAAAACAGTAAAATATCATCACTCCTAGAATATGACAAAGCAATCAGCATGTATCGGTCAATCTCATTTTCTATCTAAGTTATATTTTGTTGACTAAAATACAGACATTATTTACTGACTTGATTTACTAATGATGAAAAAAATTTAAAAACAGATACGTTGCAAATATTCATCGGGCCTGGACGGATGTCAGAAATAGGCAATTTTCTCCATATTTCTGTTTTCCTTGACATTTGTCCAAACGTTTAATTATTACTCTCTATTGGTTGGCTTTTAAAATTTATTTAATTGTTTTGGAAACATAATTAAATGAATACAATAAAGTTTTGGAATTTTTAATGGTTTTGAAATTTTTAAATTTTTGATGTCGCGACTTGTTTGTTTGGAGTGCCTATTAAAATAACGAATTTCAAAAATTCGAAACTTCATTTTTACGAACTATCATTTTTACGACCATATCATTTCTTCGAAAAATTATTTTTACGACTTTTTATATAATTTTCAAATTTTTAAAAACTGTTAATTTTATCACGCGTTTATTTCATTTATGTAATTAAAAAATCGGAATAAAATATCATTTTTATATTGATTAAACTTATAAAAACTCAGTATTATTAAGTTATGATGGAAGAAGTTGAATTTGAAGAATTTGAGTGTTTAGACGAATATTTTGAAGAGATTCAGGAAGAAAATATCGATTCTCGGGACGATGTTTCTGTTGAAAATAATGAATGTGATGATGAAGAAGTAAGTGACTAAATAAATTCAGTTAATCAGCTCTGAAAACATGCAAAATTCATTATTTGATTTCTCTAATGTCATTTTAATATGTAACATATCGTAAAATTTTATACAACATCTTGTGGCAATGAAAAATTATCCTATGATCAATATATTTATTACCATGATAAGACCATGGAATCAGCAAGCTATTTTAAATGCGTGAATAAGGATATGGGATGTAAATCACGAATAAAGGTTGTCACGTGCAATAATGGAATTCGTTCTGTCTACCCACCAAAAATTTCGCACAATCATTTTGTGAAACCAATTAAGGAAGCAACAGATATTGCATTAAGTCATCTCCGTGAGAAAGCTATCGCTGATCACTCACGTCCATGTCAAATCTTAAGTGAATTTTTAGCTGATCCGGAAAATCGTTACATAAAGACAAATTTGCCATCGAAAAATGCTCTTACTCAACGAGTGCAGCGTACTCGAGTCAAAAATGCCACAAACACCCCCCCTGAACCTGAATCTCTCAATTTCGATTATGATAGAGAATTTTGCTCCCTCAACAATGAGTATTTAGAAATTGGTAATGAAAGAGTTTCAATTTTTTCCTCATCAAGATTCTTCAATTTTCTTTGCCAAAGCGATATTTGGCTGGTTGATGGAACTTTCAAGACGTGCCCAAAGCTATTTTATCAGCTGTTGATCGTTCATGGAAATCTTTCTGGTGACCTTTATGTTTCTTATCCATTACTCTTTATATTGATGTCTGGAAAATCGATTAATCTTTATGATAAGGCTTTAGAGATGATAAAACAAATTGCAAGATACCGGGGACGGCGTATACAGTTTTCTCATGCATTGTTCGATTTTGAGAAGGCAATTCAAGTATCCTTTAAGAAAGCATATCCAAATGGTATTCATTCTGGCTGCTTATTTCATCTTGACCAGAACATAATTAAAAGAGTCAAAGCTCTCAAATTATATAAAGACTTTCTTCGTGATCATGCTTTCTATTTTGAAATTTCATGCATAATGGCTTTAGCATATATTCCTGCCGATGAAATTATGCTGTATTTTATTACTACGTTTTTCTTAACTTGCTTTCTTATCTGTCTGTTTATCTGTCGAGGTCAAATCTTGTAATCAATTTTTCGACCAATTCTACTGCTCCAATCGAGCTCAAATTTTTAATGCACACGTATTCCCGGTGACAATACAATATTTTAACACTTTGGAAACACAAAAATGCTTAATTATAGTACAATTTATGTAAAAGTTTTTTATTTGGGAAAAAATCCGATGTCAATGATATAAAATTTTGATTTGTATTAAATATTATACATGTGATGCTCTAAAGTCATTTATATGATTCATTATAGTTTAATTAATATTACAAATTATTAATTATACCATAAATTTGAGCAGCTAAAGATATTCTGGTAAGACAAAAAAATTGACATGTAATTTTTTCATGAATATTCGTAAGTGAAAATTTGAATTTTCAAAAAAACCGTTAAGCACAAGTCCGTTACGAATTAATGCAAAATAACTATTAATATGCGATGTGCATTTAACACACATAGTTTGAGCATAAATTTATGCTGTTTTAAATGTATTGCATTATTTATAACACTTCACCAACTTAATTAAATTGACTTTTCTTTTTATTAACGGCTTGACGTATTTTTGCATAACATATAAATGATATTCATTGAATTTAAATTTGAAAATCCGTTATAAATACGTTACATATGTGATTTGCATCTTTATAGTAAGAATCCACACGTTATGAAGTAGAAATGGTACAGATAAACACAAAATCTTTACGAGTGATTTTTAATGTACTTTACTAATGAATGCTTTAAAAAAATTAAATTTTATAAAACGAATGAAAAATTTTGAAAGTCGTTACTAAGTTCCCATTGAAAACTGGTAATTTATAAACAGTTGAACGCAACGAAGTTCAACCCCCTGTAACCTATAAACCTACTGTAATCTATAAACAGTTGAACGTAACGAAGTGCAACGAAGTGAAGTTCAACACACCTGTAACCTATAAACCTACTGTAATCTATAAACAGTTGAACGTAACGAAGTGCAACGAAGTGAAGTTCAACACACCTGTAACCTATAAACCTACTGTGATCTATAAACAGTTGAACGTAACGAAGTGTAACGAAGTGAAGTTCAACACACCTGTAACCTATAAACCTACTGTAATCTATAAACAGTTGAACGTAACGAAGTGAAGTTCAACACACCTGTAACCTATAAACCCCCTATAATCTTTATTTCTCTATTTCATTAGAATAAGACTAAAAAGTAGAAAATAAAATACTTTATAAAAAAAACTTTTTAAAAAACTACGTTTTTCGCGTAGACTAAAAAGTAGAAAATAACTTTTATTCTTGGTTGTAAAGAATTTGGTTTTAAATTTTCAGATTATATTTAATAAATTTTTATATCCTAGTCAATATTGTTCACAAAGTTTCGAATAAGTGCATTTTGATCTTATCGTATAACTCAACAACTTAAAAACGTGGGCGCATTATAAGAGGAGAAATAAGTTTATGTGAAATCAATACTTTATGATAAACTTAAATTAATGCGCCCACGTTTTTAAGTTGTTGAGTTAAACGATAAGATCAAAATGCACTTATTCGAAACTTTGTGAACAATATTGACTAGGATATAAAAATTTATTAAATATAATCTGAAAATTTAAAACCAAATTCTTTACAACCAAGAATAAAAGTTATTTTCTACTTTTTAGTCTACGCGAAAAACGTAGTTTTTTAAAAAGTTTTTTTATGATCTATACACAACATTATCGCCAAAGGCACAACAAGTAGCTTTTTGGTTTTGTAATAATTATATTCAAGGAGTTGATGGAACAGAACCTAGATACAAGCCAGCTTTTTGGAGTATCTATGAAAATTTTGTTAATGGATATCCTACAACGCAAAACTGGGCTGAGTCCTATCACCACAAGCTACATTGTATTCTCGATTCTGAACGGCAGCCAATTTATAAGTTTGTAAACTTTTTAAAAAAGGAACTGTCGTCCATTGAAATGGATATCGATAAATATTTAGCTGGAAAGCCACAAAAGCACAGAATGCCTGGATTTGAGAAGACAGAGAATGCTATTAAATTAATCTTGAATCGACGACAATCATTAGCACGAGTTGAAACATTAAAAGCCCTCGCAAATGTTAAGAACAATTTAAGAGCCTAATTTTATTTATTGAAATATTCATTAATATAAATTAATATAGATAGTATATATTGAATTAACTTTTGTTCTATTGAGCTTTTTTTGCAGGTATAAAATTAACAGTTCTTCAAAATTTGAAAATTATATAAAAAGTCGTAAAAATAATTTTTCGAAGAAATGATATGGTCGTAAAAATGATAGTTCGTAAAAATGAAGTTTCGAATTTTTGAAATTCGTTATTTTAATAGGCACTCGTTTGTTTGCAAAAAAAAAATCAAATTTAAAAGAAATGAAACTATTTCTTATTAAAATAATTGGAATTGTTTCAATATCATATGTGTTCCTTATTAAATCCACAAATCTAATGTAAACTAGTTAAACAATCATGATAATATTAAATGAATTCTTGGTGATTTGATTTAAGATAGTGTTGGTAAAAAATTCAATTTTTTTCCGTTGAACAAAAATTAGTAAAAAATAATTTAAATTTTCATAAAACATTTTTACTTTACTGTTCATATTAAAATTGCTATTTTAAATGATCGGCTAAGTCGAGGCTTAAAAAATGGCTTAGATAAGCTGAATTTTAAGCTCGGCTTAGAGATCGGCTTACATAAGCCGATTTGTAAGTCGGCTTAAAAATCCAGCTTAGATAAGCTGGATTTTTAAGCCGACTTATAAGTCAGCTTATGCAAGTCGATTTTTAAGCTCGGCTTAGAGATCGACTTGCATAAGCTGATTTATAAGTCGGCTTAAAAATCAGCTTACGTAAGCTGGTTTAAGCCGCCGACTTAATCGGCTTCGATCTCTGATAATAATGAAAGAAAATAGAAGAAAAAGAAGTTCTTTTTTGTTGTATCTGCTAATGCTACTGCTGAGCTGTTGTGTGAGAAGGCAATTTTTTTCATTATTTTTATTAGTATTGAGAAAAAATAAGCTTTGTTTAACTATAAACAGCAGCAGAAAGAAGAAGAAGAAGCAAAATGATGAAAGAAAAAGTTGAATAATGGCACTGAGAGAGGAGAAAATGCGAAAAGCCACAAGAAATTTTTTTAATAATAATCCATTGGATCCTTTTTATCAGTTTTTTGTGGAAAATTAAGCTGCTTTTAAGCGTTTTGAAATTATTCTCTGTTTTTAAACTAAGATTCTAGTTTTTGATTGTTTAATTTTGAATTTTTCTAAACGTCAAATTTCAAATTTTTGCGCCAACACAAATAAATTCCAATTTTAACAAATTTTATGTTTTCATTCCTTAAGTGTAGCTTCTAAATCGTTCAAAATGATTCAGCTATAACGATTTAAGTGGCATAAGACAATTTATCGAGTTCTAGACTTGCAACTTACAGATTTAAAGTAATTTTTAATTAAATTTCTCGTTGTTTATAATTGAAAATTTTACAATAGTGTTAGTGTCATAAAAAAACAATATCAATCGCCAAAAAAGCGCCAAAGCTATCCAATCCACCCAAGAATTTCCTAATCTTTAATGCATTATCTTCCTTGCTTCTTTTTCATATCAGTTTTCGTTAATTTTTGCTACTGACTGAAAGGAATAAGAAAGAAAAAAGGCAAAAACCACAAAGACATTGGGTTATGTATCGTAAAAAGAAAGTAAGTGAGATGGATATAAAGAGATGAAAAGAAGAAAGCACAATATAAAGTACGAGAAAATATTATATATCTACACACATGATTTATGGTATAGCATCATTGGCAAAGATATGTCATAATAAATCTTGTATATGAAAATTGTCTCATCGTAAAAAAGTCTGCATCTCCTTCCATTCCGAAAACAATTTTACATGTATATTCACAGAGAAAAATGGGATAATATTAGTATTTAATGAATTGAAAAAGGAGATGACAATTTGCTTCCATACAAAACTTTTCCTCTTCAAACGAGATTCTTTGTTCCTTCTTCCCGCAATTTAGTTCCACAAGTCTACATAGAAGCAACATATAAACACGCGTGCTTACTTGTATATACGAGAGGAAATTTTGAGATCGTTCCAAATTGGATATCAAATTTCCCTTTCATTCCACTTCTGCTTCTAGCAAGTCAATTTTTACGATAATTGGTTGTTTAGATACAACAAGAGTATCACAATATAGGAACCTACATCTTCTTCCTATTATATTTTCTTGGAAAAGGTTAAATGGATTCTTAAGTACCTCATATTGTGCACTTTGACACTTGTTTCCCCTAATGAAATAGGCGGAAATGACATTTATTGTGATACTTTTGTCAAATTTGTTATAAAGTGCTATTAATTTACTAATTTTAAATTTAATGGGTTTAATTAAAAGTCTATTTAGATGATTGTTGAGTAAATTAAGGTGTGAGTCAATTGGTTTGTTGACAATTTTGCTTTTTGTAGGTTTTTTAAGAGTTTGTTGTTCTGTAAACAAATTTAAAGGTTAAATTGAAAGTTTATTGAATTCTATTACTTTAAATGTTGATTGTTCAAGGAACAAAGAAGGAATTATGTCAAATAACATGAAATTAACAATTATGAATCATTCAAGAGCTTAATAAGCAAGAAATTATGCTTTAAAATTCATTTATAAATTTTCCCGCCAAAAAGTAAGCTCGAATCTCATCAAACATGAAAATTCAAGAGAATGAAATCCAAAAACTGTAATTGCTCTTTATTTAATGCTTATTTTCATCTTCTTCTACCCCTTTTTATTTGGATAATTTGTAAAGGAACAGAAAAAATTAATAAAAGAAAATCCATTTCAACTGATGATGCCTAACAGATGATAATTATTATTCGCTTTACTACCCCATTTATGTGCTGTTGCTTTCTAAACTTTAACCCCTCCGCACTTTTACCATCTGTAAATCTTATCACAGATCATCATCATTCGTTTTTATGACATCCATTGGGTGAGATGAGAAGCAATTATCATTTCTAGTGGATCTAAATTGATGTCAAATGGAAGGATGATGATGATGATGATGTATTGGATATTGAAACAATGGTTGAATGATGATGATGACAAATAAAAATGGATGGAATTTTCTAAGGAATTTCCAGAGCAGAAAAGACAATAAAAATGGTAAAAGGCAAGGACACACGAAAGAAAAGGACCTTCGATATTCTTTTTTAATTGTTCACAAGGCACTAAAGACTAAATCTTTATAGCCAAAAAAGAAAAGAAAATCTTTAATGATTAAGGAAGGAAAAATAAAATTTTCTTAATCCTTTTTTTTAATATTTCGTTGCTTCGTGATTAAAGGAATTTTCATTCCACAATATAGCAGGAAATAAAAGATGAAAATAGCGACGATGATGATGATGACGACGATAAAATGATGAGAAGAATGTGAATTGTTGTTGTTGCTGTTATATTGTGAGGAAGTGAAATGAGTAAAGGGGCTGTTGAGTGTTTGAAAATAAAAAAAAATTCCCTTTTTAATTAATACAACAAAAGGATTCCACCCACAGCTTTTTTTTCTTTTCTTTCTCGTGCTGCTTTTTCAACCCCCCCATTATTGCTCAGTTGCTTATGCCTGCCTTTAGTGCTGCTGCCGCCGCTACTCTGTGGAAAATTGTATTCTGTTGGATGGTAATTTAATTAAAAAGGAAAAATGTTTTTAGAGACAGAGTCGTAGCGTTGAGGAAGTGAATGAGAATGAGTTGAAGTTGACTGTAGGAAAAGTAGCGAGTTCAAAAATTAATTATCTAGTAGTTTCCCGCCCTCTCATCCATCTTCCTTTGCTATTTTTTACGCTGCTTTTTCTATTTTTTAAGTTGATTTATTTTTTGAGAAAATTGAGTTCACTTTGGTTTGTTTCGTGACTGACTGAATGTTAGAATATGTTCTTTATTGTGTAACTTGAGAGTTTTGTGAGCAGCAAACAGTTTTGGTTGCTTTAACAGCACAAATAAACTAAATTCTGACATGGAACACAAAAAGTCGCAATGGTTCAGAGGTTAGAGTGTCAGACTGTTGAATCAGCTGTCCCTGGTTCGCTTCCCAGCGATTGTTGTCAGATTATGATGTTTAAATTATCAACTTGATTTTTAATTACTTTTCTCATAAAAGTAATGTCTTGCAGATAGGCACTGATCAAAATTCAAAGCATCTTAGATCATGACCTAGTCATGCCTTCTTCGTAAAAAAGAATCCACAGAATTCATCCAAATTTAAAAACTCTATCCATGTTTGCATGAACAAGTTTCTTCATAGCTCTCAAATATCTATTGATGTTCTGAAGGATATCCAATATTAAAGGTTCGGTTGCAAATTTATTCAATCAGCTGTTTAAAAGTTCAAGAGTCTTCACCTAGCTACACATTTCCATCGATTCCCAAACATCCATAAAATATAATTTAATTAATTCCCAATTTCGTCATTATCGCTTGCTCTAAATTCCTTCAAAATATAAATCATTAGAAAATAATTTTTAATTGCTGCCTGTGTTCATTCTCACCAAGCAAGCCAAAGTATAATTTTTAAGGTCATTATATCCATAATTCTCTCTCACTCGGAAGCATTTTTCAAAAAAAAATTAATGCATTAAATAAGCACTGCAGCTGGTTGTTGTTTTCATATTTATCTTTACTTCTCATTTAAAGTTGATTAGTTTCGGAAAATGAAAATGAAAAAAAAAATAAAGAATTACCGTTCGATATATAATGCATATGAAGAGACATAAATTATGAAATACGACAGTAAAGATAATTCCTTTAAACAAAATTGACCTGCTTTTTACTTTAAGTTCTATTTCTTTCCTCAATTCCATTCGCTCAATGCATGTGACATAAAGAAACTATATGCTTGATGATAATCATCGTCGACATCGTCATCATCGACTCAAAACGAGTCGAGTCTTTATAAATAAATTAATCGTTCAGTAATACAAACGAGAATCATTAAGTTGTGATATGGTAAACGTATTTATTTGCTTATTTTTTATTCTCTTCGCTCGTTGCTGCCACTCGTCATATGTGTGTACACCATATAAGCATATATATATTTAAAAAAACATACAGTAAAGTGAAACGTCACCGACGAGTTTTTTTCTCTTTTTTTTCTTCTTCTACACTCGTCTCTCGACTATTTCAAAACTATTTGAAAAATTCGAAAAATGCGGACGCTCGTTGGGTTTACAATACGTCACGGGGAAATCATCCTTCTCTTTCTATAATTCCTTTTTACATCCATCCCTTACGATGTGCGTACGTATGAAAAAAATGAATTATTTTAACGAGGGTTGTGAATGAAAAGAAACAAAAAAAGCATGAAGTTTCATTGCCATTCTGGCTTCGTTTTTCTCTCTCATTTCTTTTCTGTTGTGTATGTACAATCAGCTGTTAGTTTGGAATTTCGTTTTCAGCATTCATTCACATTTCTTTCGATCGATGATGCACTCTCGTGATGCATTTTTCTTGTATCTTTGTTGCTTCGCTTTTCTGACCCATTATAACGGAATTTTATAATTTGATTTTTTTTTCAATTAACTTATTGCTCTGATGTTAACGGTTTATTTTAAATTTGAATTTTTAACGGAGTTTTAGAATTTGAATTTTTAACGGACTTTTAGAATTTGAATTTTTAAACTGAATTTTTAAGAATTTTAAAATAATTTCCAGAATCTCCAATTAAGACATTAAATATTGCTTGATCTGTAAATTTCATCGCCTCCTTAGTCATATCTAGCAGATTCCCAGCAACACCCCAAAGAAAAGCATAAAGATATTTTAATTCAAATTAATTCTCATTCTAATGATTTATTGCATTTCTTTGACCACAAAACAATTACATCGCCTCCCTTTCAAGTCTCTTTAATCAAAATAATGAAAAGATGTGAATAAGATTTGGTGTGGGAAGTAATAATAATTACATAAAATATAATAAATGTTTGCATATGTACGAAAATTTATGATACCTTACGTCGAGAGTTCATCGTCTATCTAATTTATTTGCCTTTGGACTTCCCAATAATAATGCTCTTGAGTATACACACACACACACACACACACATGCATGCATGGACACAATGAATTGTGAATAATGTGAGGTGAAGAAGTAAGATTTAATGGAATGAGTTTATGCAGGAAGCATTGAATGTGACTATAATATTAATTTTGGACTCTATTCATTCAACATTCCTTGCAATATTGTATAATCACTTTTCAGTTCCATCTATAACCGCATGTGGTTAGAACCTGGGCTTTTATGCATTTGCAAGATTGAATTTTCCCATTCAGATATAAGTTTTGTAGGTGAATGAAGGAACTTCTTATGACAAATTTTATTTGCCTTAATGTAGACTTTAGTCAATAAATTTCCATTTTAAATGATTTATTGAATGCAAAAAAAATTATTAATTTAAAGTTTCGTCCAACACACTTTGTCTGTATAATCTTATCTAGTTCCATTGTTTAAAATAAAAACCAATACAGTGGAAATTTCTTAAAGATAACAACAAATAATGGAAAAATGTAAGCAAGTGAATTTTTTTTTATTAAATGATAAGAAAGATATCAGCGAAAAAGCTAATGAATCACTCCCCATTGAATTCATAAATCTTTTCAATACGTCACGAGCAAAAATTTTCAAGGTTGCATTAAAAAATAATGTTTATCAATAAATGGGTGGTCATCAATCATATTTATCAGCTGTTCTATACTTCTTCCATTTTATCTTTCTCGTGAGCTTGAAAAACATTAATTTTAAGATATTGCAATATGACGTTGTCACTAATGTCTATAGCGATTAATTCAGAAAATATGGATGGTGGTTCGGTGAATTTGATGGGATTTTAGATGACTGTACAGGATGCTCTTGGATGATTTATACAGTTTCAACATTATAGGAGCTGTAAATATGAGAATCTTTTTGATTTAGTCTCATTTCTTGTAAACTACAAAAATCGTTAAAATTCAAAAATTTGAATTTTGAAAATCCGTTTAAAATTTAAATTTTGAAAGCCCGTTAAAATTTTAAAATTTGATAATCCGTTTAAAATTTAAATATTTCGCAACCGTTAAACATCACATAATCATTTTCAATTTGTAGCCAAAAAGGCATGACAAACTCCATGCAACTCAACTCAATTTAGCAGCATTGCAAACTTTACTATTCATCCATAATTGAATTGATGCTGCATGCATACTATACATGGGTGTGGAATCATGATCTTAATACTAGTGTTTCTTAAAATCCACTTGCCATTTATCTTTTTCTCATCATCATCATCATTACTATTATCATCATCTCTCTGTATAATTAATAATTACTCTTCTTTATGTCCAATTGTATCATTTTATGGATGTGAAGTGATGATATTGTTGTGACTTTACCCTTTTATTTCTTCTTATCATCAAGTCTTATACCTTCAGCCATTTATCATTCATTTTCTGCCCACATTATGTTTACGTACTTATGCAAAATAAAGTCTTTGTCTCTCTTCATGCAATCGATGGATGTGCGGCATTCTTTATAATTCAAAACTCTGATGATTAATTTCAAGCATGAAAATTTTGATGATTTAATTTTTTTCCATCAAATTGACGCGACACAAGACGAATTGAGTTAGTCACAAGCAGTTTATTTACAAACATGACTCATCAAAAAATTTCACTCAACATCTGACAATCATCTACTTGCCAACATTATGTTGTTGATGAAATGAAAGTCTTTTAGCTCTTACATTGCAATTAGCAGTCATTTGAAATGCTCGGTCGATTGATGTGCGGATCATATTATGTTTATAAACATACAATTTACTTTATTAATGCTTTATCTCTTCTTTCTTATTGCCAATTTCAGGACGAAATGAGTTAATAGCGCGCTACATTAAGCTCAGAACTGGTAAAACGAGAACGCGAAAGCAAGTCAGCTCACACATACAAGTTTTAGCTAGAAGAAAATTACGCGAATTTCAAGCAAAAATGAAGGTGGTAAGTATCTCATTTAATCATCTGATCCAAGGGTGCGGAACTGATCAAAATAATCAAAAATTACATAATCAGTTCGGTATCCTTGTTCTGATCTTCATTGTCGATCACAAATGATGTCCAAAATAGCCTCATTCGATAATTTGGACTGTCTCGATACAAAGACGTCAATTCTGCAAATTTTTATGCAATAAATCACAATAAAAATACAGCAAATTGTTTCAAATTGCACTCATAAATTATGTTTGGTGTAAAAAAAAGTAATTTTTTTATTATTTCGCCATCAAAGTGATTTGTAATTTCTATTATTATTATTTTGCTAGCGCAACTTATCAACGATTGGGTATCTTTGGCTGCAAGTTGTCTTGTTGGAAGTTTCTTAATAGATTTTCTAGAGATTTGACTTTGTCAATCTTTAAACTTGCTGTATTTAAGAGTCGAAACTTTTTATTAGCTTATGACTTCCTAAACTTGCTTCTAATTATTCAATTCTGCTCCTTTTTAAGGTTCAGTATTCGAGTTATTACCATTTAAGATATAAAATTTCTTTGTTATTGATTTTTAAACGCACTCTAAGCTCCCAAGAAGTCCCCCCCCCCTTATTAAAAGAACAAATGCGCTCAAGTCATCCCCAAAGAACAACTTCAGTGCTGAACATTATTTTATTGTCTTATTCACGTTTTATTGCTTATGAGAGAGTTGATTAGCAAAACAAAAAAGGCAACGGCAGCAAGCAAAAAGCCAGCCCACACACAAACACATAAATTTAAGCTATAAAGCATAAGAAAAAAAAAAATTGCCAACATTGCACCATTTAAAGTTATTTGCTGATTTGCACAGCGCACACTTTACATGCTGTTGTTGTTGTTGTTTTCATTGTTTTTAATAATTTGAACAGTCTGTCAATCCATTTATGGGGTGTTAGTGCGAGAAGTACAGCGTCTATATGTACAATCATTATTCAATCATGTCAAATGCTAATTAATAATTAAAGAGTTTCTTTTTCTCCCATTCACAATTCAATGTAAAGTCTGTCTTACTACATATTAATATTAATTGTTAAGGCAATTTATAATGATAATAAGATACAGTAATTGTTGGGTCCAGGGGTGTAGTCAGGGGGAGGGTCTAAAATAGATTTAATGCTTAAAATTCCTTTAAAAATTGAAAATTCATAATAAATGCCTCATTTTGACAAGTTCTTGACTACACCCCTGGACACATGCATCACAAACATCAGACAATGACGACAAAGATAACTATTAAGCAATCTTCATGTGTCTTTAGCATTAAAAAGACAAGATTAAAGGAAAGAAAATTCTTGGAACAATCTTTCTCTTATCGCACTTCGTTATTTGATGACTTAATGAGACGGAAATTATAAGCGATCGCTATCATGTTCATTTTTTGTCAAGACAACAAGCAAGTAACATGACGATGGCGACATTGTCATCGTTCGGCCTTTTTAACGTGCGTTAATGTGCAAATTGATGATAGGGAATTAAAAGAAAGCAAATTAAAATTGATGGGGAGGATAATTATTAATTAAAGACGTGTAATTAGCGAATTAGTGGAAGAGAATATGATGATGTAAAGTCATCGAAGTGGTTGAGATAGTTTAAGGCAGATTTTGAGTGGAATTTTTAAAAACTAACCTTGAATCTACTGGATCTTTGAAAAATCTTGCTGGATCTTGCAACATTTATGCTGGATCGACAAAAAAAGCACTTAATTAAAGAATTAATACCACAACTGCTTATAAACCTTGGGAATTATGCGAAAAAAAACTCAATAGCTACTTTGAAATATATTTTTATTTTTTTATAATTTTCAATATTTATTACAATTTCAATATTCAGGACCATTCAATGGGCAAAGAGAAGGCGTTTCAAACGATGAGTTCGATGACTTCTGCCCAATTAATTTCAGTTGCCGCAAAAGGACTCACTTTAAATCCACCATGTATTCCTCCTTACACTGTAAGCAATCTTAAGCACTACCAGAAATAAAATAAATTTCATCTCTCATATATTTGTAATATAAACAAGACATAAGCACTCTTAACATGCTTCATCATTCACAAAAATGTATGATTTGTATGACTAATCCTTGACGCTTAAAAATAATATGAAAAAAAAAATTACATAATAATACACACACAAGCCTTCATAAAATTTATGCTTAATCATTTATATGACATTGTTTCCATGTGTTAATGCGTTTAAAGTCGTCGTGCCATAAATAAGAACAAGTGACTGTGTCTGCGTCTCTCACATTTTGTCGTGCACATTAACATTCAATTAATCATGGGGCCGTTCACTTATTATGTTCGCATTTTAGAAGGGGGGGGGGGGGGGGGGGGTTGAAAAATTGTAACAAAATGTAACATAGAGGGGGGGGGGGGGGTCAAGAAGAATGTAACGTTCTTACTGTCGTCTGTCTTTTAAAAAAAAGTTCACGAAAAAAATTTGAATTAAGTTGTAACATGTTGTAACAAGTGGGGGGGGGGGGGGGTGAAAAAAGTCAGTTTTTTGTGTAACGTAATAAGTGAACGGCCCCCATCATGTTTATGTATAAAAAAATGTTTAATGAATTTGAAGCGATGAGAGGCGCTTTGGCTGTATGTGGCTGTAAGTTGAGGGATTTTTGGCTTTCCAAGCAGTTTTAAAGTCAAAATTATTAAAATTATCTAATGGATCTTGAATGAATCTTTTAAATTCACTTAAATCTAATGCGTCATAATTCAAATCTACTTGATTACATTAATCAGCACAATCCTGACATCAAATCCATGACTAAGCCTGTACATTCAGTCTAGATCAGTTTTGATGTTTCCATTTCTATTTTCACTGGATTAATCATCATTGAAACATGGATACACATATCCATTCGCGAGCAGACGAGAGAATGTGATTCTATTTTTAAATTATTTCTTTTATTTGCCACACTATCAAGCCTGTAGTGAGTAATTGTAAAATCTCGCAAACAACTGACGATATGAGAGTTCATAGACCGAAAAACTTAAAGATTATCTCATAATTAAATATATTTATATTTAAGATGAAAATTAAGTCATCATTTACAGGCACGACACAACAATTTCATGAACATTTCAATTAATAGTTACAAAGAATGAAATTGACGGCGCGTGAAGCGAGCGTGTGAAAATGAAGATTTTTAATGCACAAAAGTGCATGTGATTTGTCTCAAAAAAAAATAAACGTGCTGTTTTATTCAGCAGTTCTACTCATTTCTAGATAAATCTTACCACGTGTAAATTTTTAATGCCTCAACGGTTTTGTAAAATTCAAATTAACCGTTAATTTTCAAATCTTCGCATCAATTTTTTTCTGAACACATCATTTGAATATTAAAAAGCTGTTAAATTTTGAATCTTGAAAAATTAATTTTAAATTGCATTTAAAGACACAAAAACAATGTTTATCCATTTGTACAGCATAACTTCGCATAAAACACAAAACACAATTCTCCACACATCGTTAAGAACCATTAAAGTCAGGAAATGAACTTCTGTGAAGGACACAATCGTAAAAGATATTGAAATTTCCGTTTAGACAATCCACTCATCCTTATCATCAAAAAACAATCATAAATGTAAATCCTCTCTGGCGCCTCTCTGCATAAAAATCACTTCTTTCTGTTTAACATGATTATATTTTGTATACCTAAAAAGTCATTAGATGAGTCAAATGAAGCGTGGGCAGTGTCAGCAAAAAGAAATACGAAAAAAAATTCACAACAGAACCAGTTTCAGACACTTTATAGCACGTCAATATTCTTTCTACTCTTAACTTTTTTTTTTTCCTTTCAAGTCGTTTTAAATAATGGGTCATAAAACCATGAAAACTGGTTATGTTGGTTTCGTTTCCTTTTATTTCGCTGTCGTTGCTGTCATTTTGCAAAAAAATAATTCTAAGTGATTCTTTTGCATAAAATTGCCGTTATTTTTTAATTTGAATTTTTTTCATTTCTTTTTCTAAACTTTTGCATCATTTTAATTTAAATAAAGTCCGTTAAATTAAAATCTGATAAGAAATGGCAATTTAGGTTTATTGCTAAAGTTTTATGACACAAAATTGAGACTAATTGGCAATTGGATACTACCTGGATCTTACCATTGTAAATTATCTTCCCAAACAACAAGCAAAATATTATTTTGTCGATGACAAGCGGGAATTAATTGAAAATTCATATTGAATGGGGATGATAAGAGGTAAAAGTGTCAAGTGAGAAGCATTGCAACATCATTTATCATGTCGATAATAAATGAGTTTATTGATTAATGGTCAATGAACATTCAATGAATAATTATTAAGTACAGTGACGTAGTAATTGTATGCAATTAAAGGATTTTTCGTTGTCTATTTTTACAGTCATTGCTGCTGCCCTCAATAAAAGTCATAATAAATCAAATAGTTCTGTTTAAAATGCTGAAAGCCCACGACTCTCACTCATTCAGTTTACTCTACACACGACGCAATAATTCAAATTTTAATTAATGTGCAAATACACAACATTCGCATAGATGTAATTGTGTTTTGTGACTGGAGCAAGGACCTCGAATAACAGAGAATATATAAAATTGACTTAATTTATGGCGTTTCTTTTTGCAAAATTCACTTCTTATATAATGGAAGATTTTTTGTTGTCTGTGCGGGTGCATTTGACTTCTTATTAGAATAGTTGATCACCTTCAGACTGTTTAAAAGTGCAGAGTAACAGGTGCCTTTCGGTTTAATTCTTATTAGATAGTCTGTTTTAAATAGAATAATAAAAAAAAATTTTTGAAATGAAAACCTTACAACAGTTTTTGAAATTGTGTTGTTTTAACGGTTTTCTAAAATTCGAAAATTGACGATTATAAAACCATACAACAGTCTTAACCGAATCACAGGAATTGTAATGTTCTCGAGCATTTTGCAAACCAAAACTCACAACAGAAATAAAAATTTACCGCTTAATTGAATGAACAGAAGCAGCACTTATATCTAAAAATGGTCCGCGACAAGCTTAGTCATGAATTACGCTACTTTGTATGTAAGACAAAGTTCAATGCGTCTAAATCATATTCAAATGGTTCAATTAAGACTTTTTATGATAATATCTCGACTCATAAACATTTCAATTAAGCTCCATATTAGTTCTAAGGCAATCACTAAGTATTTATATATGCAAATTGACAACATCGCTTACTTTTTTTGAAAGTAAAAATATGTGTAAAAAAATTCTAAAGCTACAACTCGCTGCTATAAATTTTTAGTATAATGTAACTTAACACCAAATGCAATATAATGCATATATATTTTTTAATGCCATCGAAACACGTTTTGTAACCGCACAAAAAAAATAAATGCCCAATGCTTTGATGGAATTTCACATTATTGTGAGCTATTAAAATAATGCTATATTGATGCAATGGAATGTGTAGTAAAAATGAACATTTATTGTTATGTCATAACTCTAACTGCTATTTTTCAATTTGCTGGCAAAAATAAAGAGCATAAAACTCACATCTATTCATTGTTATTATTTGTCTTTGTCTTTTAGCAATTCTGGCAGCCTGGATTACAGCCAAGCACATCGCAAGATGTCAAACCATTCGCACAGCCCGTCTATCCTGGAAGTGGTAAAACAGCGACCGCAGTATCAGCAATCGAGAGTAATCTACAGACACAACATTCATGGGAAGGCAGATCTATAGCAACACAAAAATTCAGGCTCGTTGAATTCTCTGCATATCTTGATCTTAACGCCGACGATGCTGTCAGTGACGTAAGTTAATGCTATGCTCTAATATTCACTTCTGTTGCTCTAATTCAATTCATTTTTTTCTTAATTTTAGACGTATCACAAGCATCTCTTTGTACATATAGCAGAACAGCCAACACATCCACTCCTTGAATCTGTGGATGTGAAAGAAATTTACGATAAATTCCCACAAAAGAGCGGTGGTTTGAAGGAGCTATACGAAAAAGGTCCACAGAATGGATTCTTTTTGGTTAAATTTTGGGCCGATCTCAATACAAATCTGCAAGTTGATACCGGTGCATTTTATGGTGTCAGCAGTCAGTAAGTGCATCTTGCACATTTTTAGCAAAAGACATAAAAAATAATAAAATTTCACCTTTATTTTAATTTATAGTTTCGAGAGCAATGAGAATGTAGTCATCACATGTTCCACAAAGGTGTGTTCGTTCGGGAAGCAGGTGGTCGAGAAGGTTGAAACGGAATATTCGCGATTGGAAAATGGACGATTCGTCTATCGCATTCATCGGTCACCGATGTGTGATTATATGATTAATTTCATCAACAAACTTAAACGACTGCCCGAGAAATACATGATGAATAGTGTCTTAGAGAATTTTACCATCCTACAGGTGAGTGCTTGGGAACTTGAGACTTTTGAGGAGTAGCTAGGATGAATATGAGATTCTGGGCTCAACTCCTCCTCATAAAACTTCTGGCTATACCTTGCCTAGTTTAAAGATTTAGATTTTCAATCCTAGGATTTATTTTAATCCGTCGGATTTAATTTTTAATCCTTCGAATAAAATTTTAATCCAACAATTTTCCATAATTTTTTTTCCATCCAGGTAATAACAAACAAAGAGACACAAGAGACCCTTTTGTGCATTGCATTTGTATTTGAAGTGTCAACATCGGAACACGGTGCACAGCATCACATCTATCGATTGATAAAAGATTAGCAAGAGGATCCAATCATAATTGCACCATCCAGCGACAATCAATTCACACAATTGATTGACGATACAAATACAATTGTTAATGTTAATAAAAGTAGCATGCTAAGTACATCATCGACGGATAATAATAATAGTGATTTAAGTGGTAATTTTAATTCGAAACACAACAATAATGAGAGTACTATTGGTAGTTTTACAAGCGTAAGCGTTAATGATAATTATAATAATTTTATTTGTCAACCAGTACCAACGTTATCAAATGAACCATCAAAATTGATTAAGAAGGAATCGCATGATGATTAAAAAACAATACAATGGATATGTGTAGATGAAAATTATGTAACATATTCTCATTCTCTAGACATTTTAACTTTTTTTTTTGATTTTTTTACGTTTTCGATTTCCTTTCTGTCCTTTAAATAAACAAACAAAAAAAACAAGAGAGTACATACAATAATTAAGTAAAGATCTTGATATGATGGGAATTAATAAAGTTTTAAACATTTACTATTTTATGAGTTTAAAAAAATAATAATGAAAAAATCATCAGTGCCTATTTAAAAAAAAAGTCAACAGAAGAAGACAAAAGTGAAAAAAAGATGAAAAGTATCTATTGTAAAGATTTAAAAAATTAAATTTGTTCTTTGGTTTTTGTTTGAATTGATTGTTGGAACTGTACAAATGTTATATTTTGTTTGTAGAAACTGTATAAATGTTTTGAAAATGACAGTGTGTTTGGAAGCTTTACAATTCCAAATTACTATCCATTCGAAAGCTTTACAAATGTTTCGAATTTGTTATGAGAACCATGCAATTTTTTTGAACACCGAACCTTACAAATGTTTCAAATTTGTTATCAAAACCATACAATTGTTTTGATTTGCGATCAAAAACTTTCAAATTCATCGATATTAATGTCAAAACCTTACAATTTCAGACATTTATACAGTTTTAAAACAAAATGATTCAGATTTGCGCATCAAACTATTAAATCCAATGAAAATCCGAAGAACAGACACTATCTTTGATAATAAAAACAAATAAAAAACATTCAGCTAAAATCTCATTAATAAATGAATATTCTCGGCAGATCGCCATGCTCACCCAATCGTCTTTCGGTGCAATAAAGAAATTCGGCAATTCTTATTTTATTATTTCAAGTTGCAATAAATGTAGAAATGATGATAACAGCCAACATAACCGCATTCATGCCGAGCTTTAATATTTTTTTTTTCAAAGAACAGAGTTCAAATCAGCATAAGAAGAGATGAAACGCAATTTTTTATGAAAAGAAATCCTTAAAGAAATTATTATTATTATTATTTTTTACAAAAAAATATGTAAAGCTATTGTCACCATGTGCTGACAGAAATGAATTATTGTGACATTATATTTTTATTTTATAGATTTTTTTTTATTATTTATCCTTAATAATTTTGTCTCTTCCTCTTAATATTAACGCAAAAAAAAACAAGCAGAAAAATAAGAATAACTTTTATAAATGCCATTGATTTTACTAATTAAACAAGAAAATAACATAAAACAAGAAAAAATGTGAAGAAAAATCCACCTTTGTGGGGTCAATTGGGGTAGAGTTGATGATAATCAGGTCTGTGATGAGATTTATACTTGATCTTTGGTTTCTGGCTGGTGTTTGACTGTGGATTTAATCCATAAACTTAAGATATGATTTTTAATCACAGGATTATTTTTTAATCCGCTTGATTTAATTTTAATTCGACAGATTTATTTTTTTAATCTTATGGATTAATTTAATATTCAATGGATTAAAGTTAAATCCCAAGATTATAACCCTCAACACCTACTCGAAATCTCAGATTGACTGTAAATCTCACAAACTGTACTAAAAATGAGAAATCATCAAAAATTCCAGACTTGATATTCAAAAAACTTCATCAAAATTGACCCCAAAAAATTTTATTACTTAATTAAGATTTTTTTTTATATATTTTATACAAGCATCAAGCGGCTAATGTTTTGATTCTTTTCGCACATTCATAACAAACTTAATGCAATTCGAGATTATTAAAATTTACTTTAAATTCCTTCCATTTTAATTTTTTTGTTGCTCCCCCCGATGCCATAGCTAATGAAATTATAAAAGCTAATTTTCACTTCAGTTATAATATCTCGGGACCAAGACCAAAAGAAGCCATTTTAATGCTTTATTCAAGCAATGAACTTTTTCAATGTCGCTTGATTTTTCTTCCTTCAATTCAATTTCGTCTTTTTCATTCATCTTCTCTTTTAATTCAATTATTCTTCTTCTTTTGGAGCGGAGATGATGGCAACTTTGTGGATGTTTCTAGGTGAATTTTACAATGTTAAAGATATTTTGTATAAATTCGTATGTTGCATACGGTTTTAAACTTGTACCATGATTAATACCTAAGAAGGTTGCAATGTGTCAACCAAAAAGTGGTGCACGCAATACGACTTTTGACAATTTACTCAAATACATCTCAAATTCATTCATCTCTGCTGTTTCAGTAACATAACATTATAAAAAAAATATAAAAAGAAAATTATTATTTAAATGAATTGCAAGATATTCATTTTGATCTCTTAATTAGTCAAATGTATTATTAAAAATAGTAAATTACGACAACGCGATGATGAGAATAAATAAAAGAAAAAATTTGAAAAAAATGAAAAAAAAATAAAGATTTCGAGTAAGTACCTAAAAGAATATTCTTTCTACAGTTTCAATTGGATGACATTTAGAGAAAAAAAAATGAGAAAAAAAATCACTCAAATTTGATATTAAACGAAAAATAAGAGATAGTATTTGCAAAACACACAGATATAACCCATTCATAATCCGATCCTTGGTATGAACTTATAAAGAATAAAAAAAAGAGTTTATATAAAATTATAAATTTTTAAGTAGATAAAATCGTGTTCAGCGCGATTTTTTGTTATGATGATTTTTTTAAGTTAAATGAGATGTAACTGACGTTCATCAAAATGTCCAATCGATAATATAAAATGATATCTGGTGTGCTTCTTATTCTGGGAAGGGCTTAAAAGATCTCTGAAAATCAAACTTTGAATAATAATTGGACTAAATTTACATTACTTTGGAAAAATAAAAAGGCCATCCAGCTTTTAAAGCAATAGCTTAAATCGCAATCAGCTGCAATTCTTTGAATATGAAGATTAAGAAGTACACCTTCATCAATTGAAGTTGATTGAGATTTATTTATTTAAAACGAAATATTTGAGTTTGAAAACTGTACAATTCCAATAGCTTGATAAACATTTGTAAGGTTTCGATAGCAATTTCAAAGAAATTGAATGGTTCTGAATATTTGAATCAATTCAAATCAATGTAAATGTTTTCTCAAAACCATACAAATGTTTGGAATTGAACGGTTTCAAGATTTCAAATAATAACCGTTGAAAAACAATTTTCAATAAATAAATCTCAAGCAACTCCAGAACATCTTTAAAAAAAACGATAATAATATTTTTGTAAATAATTAAAATGTTCTTTTTAAATGTCATAAGTTTTCCCTTCCCTCCTATTTTTCGTTTCTATTTTCGCATATACATGTAAGTAAGTAAAACAAATAAATCGAATGGCAGAAATGATAAGAAATATGAAAAAAAAAATTAGATGGACATTATGATAATTATTAATAAAAAAAAAGTTGTACTTGAAACAGAAAGAATGTAAGAATAAGTAAATGAGATGTTATTCTCTCTATCTCTCTCTTCAATGAAAAAAAAACACTGTTTTTCAACGGGCCGCTCTGTAAATTTTCTTTTTAATTGCATAAATTGAAGAAATAAAAGAAATTAAATTAATTATGTGAAAGAGATAAATGAAGATTTATAAATAAAGTAAAAAGAAAAAAATATAAATTGAGGAAGTTTTTTTTTCTTCTATTTTTCAGAATTTAATGAATTTTTTTCTCTCTACTTTCTCGTTCGACGTTGCAAAAAGATATAGCCGAGCGTATGAAATCCAATATAGAGCAAGCACATCGAGAATATATCCATGAATAGATGACTGCTTTTAAAGCTGTAATGCTCTAGCACTTCATCTCCAGTTTTGAAGCACGGAATGTCTGTTGAATTGCTGTCGATGCATGCTGAAAATTATTAATATATTTATTTTAAATCTGATGATATTCAATAATAGATTGGGGTTGTTCGTAAATGACGTTCCATTAAAATTGATGAATTATAAAGGACTATTTGAACTCAAAACCATTGAATTCCAAAAATCACCATAAACATTTGTATGGCTTCAGAATATTTTATAAGAATTGTAAAGTTTTCCATTCAAAAATCAATTAATCCAGCAAATATCGGACGTCACCAATAAAAAATCCCAACACATCATCCAACTTACGAATGTTATTGACATCTTCCCATTGAACAATACTCATCGCTTCATTTCCGTACATCAACCAACTAAAGTACGGTAGAAATGACAGTAAAGGAGTTAGAGTCTCAAGTCTAATAAAGACACCAGATGTTATCATTAAAATGTAGTCGAATGGAACCAAATAAGCCATTGCCATTGGCACGGAATTGAAAGCTGCTGAGAAAAACATTCCGCATGCACATGATACATTCATGACTAATGCTGATGAGATGATTGTTATTACAAATGCGAATAGTGTTGGACGTAAAGCAGCAAGCCAATATGCAATCATGATAAATATCAAGGGCTCGACTATTAAGCCAGGAAGCTAAAAAGAATTAAATTGGAAATATTAACAATTACTTGCTCAATAAGAGTATCAAATTACCATCGCGATGACGTTGGCTATGTAAAATTGATCCGTGGTATAAAGTCCTGATTTAATTTCACGTAGAAATATTGGAAACATTTGAGGGAAAAATGCCAATACAGAGTACATTGGTGAGAATGTATTTTCCGATACAAACAGAAATAAAATTCCTTGTATAGCTTGAACACCAGTTTGAGATAAATCAATAGTACCCCCATAACATAATCCAGCCATTAAAGCAATTCCAATTTTCTGTAAAATTCTCAAGTTTTGTATTGTTGGATCACGGATTGTAGTGACAAAGAATCGCCATACAAGCCAATAAATTGTGGTAAGTGCCAAAGGCGGTTTGAAATTCGACATTTCATCCTCAATTTGATAAACACCACTTTCATGCATGTGTATTTCTAAATTAACTAGGAGATCTCGTTGATGAGCAGCCTCACTAACCGCAAATAAATCGCAAATACGTGATGATGTCCTTTGAGCTGATCTTTCTGATTGCCCATACTCTGTTGACAAAACTCCAATAAGGTAATCAGCAGGATTATAATTTACAGGGCATTTATATCCATTTTCAGCAAAGAACTCAATGGCATCAGTTGGATCCCCAAAAAATGCAACCCGACCTTCCGTTAACAGCAAAACTTGATCAAACATAGCAAAAAGTTGACTAGACGGTTGATGAATTGTACACAAAATGGCAGTGTTCCTTCTTTCTGCTAGATCCTGTAGCGTCTCTACTATTTTTTGAGCATTATATGAATCCAGTCCTGTCGTTGGCTCATCACAAAAGAGTATCGCAGGATGTGTAAGCAATTCTGTGGCAAATGAGAGCCTCTTCTTCTCGCCACCAGACAGCACCTTTCCCTCGCCATCTTCTCCAATTTTGGTATGCATGCAGCTAGTTAAACCCGTTCTCTCAAGTAAATCTCGAATTGTGTATGCAATTTCATCAGATTTCACACGACGATCCAATTTCAGATGTGCCATAATCGTAAGATGCTCAATAACTGTCAATGATCCAAAGAAAATGTCATCTTGATGTACAAAACCAGACATGCGACGCATAAATGGACCAACTTGACATCCATTTACTAAAATATCACCATCGACTACTGTACCGGCTGTTAACAAAAATCAGCAATGCCTTTAAAGCTAATTAAATTAAATATTAAGGCCATGAACTTACGGGTACTCCTATAAGCTAAAGCAGACATCAAAGTGCTTTTTCCTGCTCCACTTGATCCCATTAAAGCTATCAATGAGCCACTTGTGATCGCTCCCGAACATCCATTAATAATCCTCTTGATCTTTTTTGTGCCTTTTGTTGCATAAACGCTCACGTCACGCCATGCTTAAAAAAATATTTTGGATCAATTAAATTTGAAGCCATGACATTGGAAAAATAAGGGAAGTGCTTCTGTTTAAATGATTTTGTAGGACTTCTGGGTCACACTTGTTCGTTTTCAAATGATTTTGTGGGTATTTTAGAGATCACAGTAAGGGGATTGTGAACCACGGTTTGACCCTACAATATCCATTCTTAGTAAATGACATACCCAAAGTCACTCCATGCTCAGCCGGCGACCATTTATTGTAACTCCTCAGCGATATTGAACGCGAAAACACATTCGAGTTGTCGTCACTTTTTGACAAATCTTCGTTAATTGAGAGTGAGTATGAAACTGTGAGTGCTTCCTTATCATCCATGAAGCTCGAGATTATTGAAATATTATTATCAAAATTAATTTATAAAGCAATTAAATTTGTTCTATTTTTTTTATTCCTTTTAATTTTCAAGGTCAGTTACACACAGAATTTGAATCCACCAAATGTCACTGTTTGCAGATTTAATCCTATCCAAAAATTTTTTCACTCGACTGACCAAAATTAAAATTCACATTCGCGCTTCTATTTCTTAACTTTATACTGATTTATATACAGTTGAGGTTATCACAATTTGCACTTTCCTAATTTTCGGCTATAAAAATGTCATTTCGCTTCTTGTTCTTTAAACGTTTTCAGCCAAAATAAAGAATCAAATGTGATTCTGAAAAATTTAAATTATTTAGCTCTTCTAAGCATTATAAGGTTTAGAATATTCGACCAATGTGACGATATTAGTTAAAGTTAAATGTTCTTATCGACATTCTTTATATTTCTTATCTCATAATTTCAATATATTAAGGCGAGAACATTTCTAAGCAACTTAGTTAATATTCTTACTCGAAAGATCTTCATCATATGGAATGAAAGTATTGACTAGCTTGCTAAGAAATGTTCACGGCTTCATAATATTTAAAATTATGAGATAAGAAATTAAAGAATATCGATAAGAACATTGAATTTTAACAAATATCGTTACATTAGTCATACTTATCATTCTCAAAACAAACTATTGCTCGCGGAATGTTTGAAGTGATTTTAATTAATAACTTCTTTATTAGCCGACGAGTAGCACTGTAATGGGAATTATAAACATAAAAAAAAGTTACAGTAAAATGATATTCGATACTTAGACATGAGGAACCAGATATACATGAAGCCACAAAAGTAAGTTCCAAGTGAAATTGTTTCGATACCAATGAGCAGTTAATATAATGTCTTGCAAACGAGTAAGACATGATGTGACGAGCTATTGAGGAGGAACAAAAAATTATTAATAAAGATAAAGAAAAGAAAATTTTGCACAATCAATTGTTGAACGAGTGGCAAATTTTTATTTTCAATCTATATTACTTTCATAAAATTAAATTATACATGCTTCTTTTGCGAATTTACTTCTTTCTCTTTATTATTTGCTTTATTTATCAATTCAATTTGTTTTTTTTTTCTCTTTTAAAAATGATTTTTATTTCGCAATTTTGTTGATTAGATCTTCATTTTCATTTACTTGCTTGCTGCTTTTTTTTCTCGCACGTGGGGGAATTCTTTTTGAAAATGAATGGATAATTATGTTTTACGCTTAAAATGGAATCAGTTTTATAGAATTTTGGGGAATAAGTGAAGTTTTGTGAATGCTTTGTGTAATTAGCTTGATATATAATGTGAAATCATAACGGATTTCAAAAATTCAAAATCCAACAGATTTCAAAAATTCTTAGTTTTGACTGTTTTCAAAAATTCAAAATCAAAAGGTTTTCAAAATTTCAAACACTAGAAATTTTGGAAACCGTTAAAATTTTAATGTTTGAAAGCAGTTAAAATATGAAACACAAAATTAATTTGTTTTATTATTTGTCAGAATTTTAATGAATGAAAAATATTTCAAAACAAAAATAAATGATTTTTTTTTAACATTTCTCCATTATTTCAAAAACATCCCCCCACAACCAATTTCCTACAAATATTAATTCATGTATTTTTTTGTGTTTTTAAATTCTTTTATTTCCTTTATCAATCTTTCATTGGTGAATAAAATTAAAGATGATAAAAGTCAATTCGTAATATCTCATCAATTGTGATGGCAACGATCTAGTTTATGCCATTAAATTCAATACAATTAAAATTTTATCATCTTCCGGCCTCAAATTTCATCATTATTACTATTTTTTCTATTATCGGGAACTATACATTCTTTTATATGTATATTTACGCTATATAATTTGAAATAAAAATCATTACTTTTTATTACATACTTTTTTTTTCTTTTCTTATCTATTGTCAATAAAGGATGTGGAAAAAATTAATACTTCTTTCACTAAGTCTCTAAAAACTGTTTTTTTTCTCTATTATTATTTTTTTAATTTTTTTATTTCATTTTTTTTCTAAAATTTGACAATCTCAAAACAAGTTTTTTGAGGGGGACTCAAAACAAACACTTAATAAGTTACTAACCTAAAAAAGCGGAAAATGGAATTTTATTCGAGGAAGACGCAACTTAATAGAATTAAAGTAGGGACGAAAGATCTACTTTTTGGTCATGAGAAGTTTTGGAACTGACTTTAGCTTTTCTTTTTCGAACGAAGAATGCAGAAGAAATTAATACTTTTTTGTTTTTAATAATTTTTTTTTGGTTTTATAAATAAAGATTTAATATTAATTCAAGAATTCATCTCAAATTAACTTTCGTCTTCGGGATATAATTAATACCTAATATTTTTAATCTAGGGATTTAACTTTATAAAGATTTAAATCCAACCCTAAATCTGACGATTAATATTTTAATCCAACTTTAAATCTCAGGATTTGCTTCCAGGATCTAAAACTGACAACTATTCTTAATAAAATGTATTAAAAATCAAAGCATCAATTACACAACTTCCCATGACTATCGCTTATGATAAAAAACCAGTGTAAAAATTTTGCTTATGTAATGGTCCAAAAGATTTCGTAGGAATGCAGTAAAAACGGAAATGACTAATTACGCTATATTATTTAATTATCTGCTCTATTGTTCTAAAATCGAATCGAGATAAGTAATTTTTTTTTATATCAATTCTTGTAATTTTTTTCACTCTAAAGATTTCAATTTTGTTTTCTTTTAATGACTTACATCAATCATTTGGTATATTCTTTGGTATGATATGTTAGAAATAACTAAAATGATTCATTTTATTTGGTGAACATTTTCCAATTTTCTTGACTGTTTTGTGTTATCTTTTTTTTCTTTCGATTCTAGAATTAAGTAACATTTGCTTATAGACAATATCCTCATCATGAATCACGAATTTGTTTCGTTATCACTTTTTTTTTGTAAGTTTAAATAGATTCATTTTTGTTTTGTGTGTGTGAATTGTGAAAAGAATTAAAAGAAAAATATTTCTAAAAAAATAAGTTTGAAAAAGTCTCGATTAAATCGATGGTACATGCTTCGTACTTTTTCTTAGACATATTTAAAAGTTTCTTTTTTAGCCAGAAAATAGCAATAATTTTGGTATCTCATTTACGTCTCTTAAAAGTAGTAATTTTTTTTATATTAAGGATAAAATCACTTTAAGGAGGATAAATATTGATCCTCGGAAAATATTGGACTAGAAAAGGATTTTCTTTTTAGACTAGAGTTTTTTTTTGTTTGCAATTTAAGTTTAGTTTTTTATATATAATGAATTGTGCATTTAATGATGTGATTTAGTCATTTTTCTTCTCATTCTCGGTCGTCGTTACATTATTATGCTGTTCATTTTCAACCAGCACATGTCCATTGACACTCTTAACAACGAGATCGAGCGGTGGAAAGTCGATCAGTGTTGTGGTACAATGAAATCCCATATTTGATATTGCTACAACATACTCACAGAATGCGAACCAACTAAAAGCTAAATCATGACATAAGAGGCGATGTTTTAAAAAGAAGACGATAAGTCCAATTGTGCTTGCAATTGACAGCGCAAAAAAGCTTCTCTTATAACGTAATGAGCGTCTTTCCTGATCATTTGTAGGACCATTCGGTTGAAGTACTCCCAATAATCTCAATGAGACTAGCATATAAGTAAGCGACGTTACCATGAACGTGACGAAAATTTTCTCGTGAATTGCTATAAATACAAAATAATAATGATTATTAGATTGCGTGAGAATTTGATAAGCATAAAGGATATGACTTACGATAATTTTCTTTGTTTGAGACATAAGTGACACCTGCTAGAGAAGCAATTTCAATCAAATTCAAATAATGCACAATTGATGCTAGTCGAGCAGCTTGTGCATATTGACTTTGACCTTGTATCTTGATCAAGACATGGCGCGTTAAATAATTTCTATGCACATATGCTATAACTAATCGCGGAGTAAGATGTAAGGCGATGATCGAACGCCACAGATAAATTTGTGGGCGTATGCCGGTAATTGAGGAAATCGATGGTATTATGTTATAGACCTGAAAAAATTCCATTTGAGAAATGTCCTCAATTTCATAGAGCTCCTAAATAATAAAAGGTTCATTCCGTTGTAATTCTTGAATGTATTTCAAAAAAGATTCTATTTGTTGCTTGTAAGTAACAAAAACAAAATCATGAGAGAAAAATATCCAAAAAATTCAACCAGCTAAACAACCAAACTAAAGATAAATGTGTGGATAAAAATGAACAAAAAGAAGCTAATTAATGGGCAATTCCACGGATTGATTTTTTCAAAAATTTCGTGTTTGAGATCATTTTTCTCTTAATTAGGCAATCTAGACAGTCCAACGACTGTGCATACTTATGTAAAACGCCGAGTTCTATCTTCTGGATGTTACTGCTTCTTTCTATATGCATTAATTAAGCAAATATTTGATTTTTCGCGAGCGTTGCACTATTTCAAAATATGGAATTCTGATTTTAAAGTTAGTTTTTTTTACCTTTTAAATATCTAGACAAATATTGAATGTTTTTTTCCTGTACAACCTGAATTGCTTTATGATTCTGTAAAGTCTTTGTAGCCGTTAAGTCACTTATTAATCAGATAAATAGAATTTTGTAAAACATGTATTGAAATAGTGCAACGAAAAGCGTCTCCTCAAAATTTTAGTAAAATTTGAACTTTTAAAATACGTTATAGTTAATTCAAGAAAATTTAAGGTGATTGCACAATGATTCAGAATCGAAAAAAATGTTCAAAAATTAAAAAATTTCATGTTAATTAAACTATGTCCTTTAAATGCCAGATTAAAGATCTTAACTTGAGGCATATCCTATGAAAATATCTCGTCCTAATTTGATGTCTAACTCCAGAAATCATTAATTTAATCTCACCCAAAATTTGTTTACAATTTGTGTATGAAAAAAAAAATATGATTTTTTCTACTTTAAGTTGTTATTTGGATGTCTTGGAAGCAGTTGCTAGCTAATTTTAGCTTTGCTTTACATATTAAAATAACCAACTCAATAAAAATCTGCTTATTAAGCCTTAAAAATGGAATTGAAATCTGAGTATTTTTACACAAATTAAACTATTCATAAGTTAAAAAGTCTTCCAAAGACCTCTCTGAAACCTATATAAATCCATTAATTAAGTTTAAATCTATCTCCCATATTACTGGGGACATGCCGTTTGATGCCGTTTACGAGATATTTGCGATCAAAGTTTACATAAATTTTCATACAAAATTTGATCATGCACAATATTTTTTGATAAACTTTTACAAACTTTTGGTAAAAAATCATGTCTTTCCTTTATATTAAGGACTGATTTTTTGAGCAAAGAACGAAAACATTATCTAGAAGATGCTAAAAGAATCAAATCAAGAGAAATTAACAAAAACTTCCAATTTTCTAATGTGTTGGAAAAATATTGTGCACAAGGAATTTTTGAACATTTTTTCCGAATCTGAATCATTGTGGATTGTTTACGATTTTTGAGTGTGAGAAAGATTAGGAAAAAAAAGTGTTAAAAGATAACTAAATAAAGACGAAAACAAGTAAATTTGTAAGTTTATGGTTTTGAGCAAGATTTATAAAATATGTAGAATAATCGAATTTGTTTGTTTCTCAAGTTTTTATTATTCCAAAATCTAACGGTTTTTTGAAATTCAAATCTACAAGTAGAAAAAGAATTACAATTTGCTTTTTCTGAAATTCCACTCATCTGTGGAATTGCCCTAATAATTTAGTAGCTCAATGCCTCTTGAGACTTTAGTTGCATACATAGAAGAATGTAACGTAGGGTTTTGCTAATAGCAAAAGCGGCACTGCGATCGATGATCTGTTGTACCATCCCAAGTTCCCTATGCTAGAATTCCAATGCCCTGATAATGCTCTTCATTAATGAACATACAACGATGGCGATCACTCGCAGTGATGATCATAGTGATGGTAATCACTCTGGAACTCACTGACTGCCATCACTGTGAGTACCACATTGACTATCATCACTATGGTCATCATTACTGTACTCACTAAAACTTAAACTTTTTGAATGACAGAATTTTTTTTCGAATGTCAGATTTTTTTGTAATTACAATCAAGATGGCAATCACGCCTACCATCATTGATGACCATCATTTGATGCCCTTACTTATAAAATATGATGGCAATCATAAAAGCAGTCACGACTACACTCAGTGACGACCATCATTTGATCCCGTACATTATAAAATGTGATTGTAATCATGAAGGCAGTCACGACTACACTCAATGATGACCATCATTTGATTCGCTAAATTATAAAATGTGATGGCAATCATAAAGGCAGTCACGACTTCACTCAATGATGACCATCATTTGATTCCCTAAATTATTAACTGTGATTGCAATCATGAAAGCAGTCACGACTACACTCAGTGATGACCATCATTTGATGCCTTAACTTATAAAATGTGATGGCAATCATGAAGACAGTCAAGACTACACTCAGTGAATCCCATCATTTGATGACCAAAAAAATTATTTTCCACAAAATATGATTAACATTACTATCATCACATGAAAGTGAATGTCATATTTTACATGAATGTCAGAATTAAAAACAAATAAAACAAAGAATTTTTGTGAAATAAACTAGGTGTATATTGGATTGTAATCACTGATGGTAGTCAGTGATGAAAATCATGATTGCATTCACTGAGTACATATGATAAAATATTAGTTAAATTAATTAATAATTTCATGAAAAAGAACATAAACATCAAAGAAATATGCAAGTTTATTTTTAAAAAAATTGGGACATTTAAATATGTCAAATTGCCGAAAACAAAGTATCTATTTTTTAACAGGCAATGGCTTAGAGGACAAGCGAGAGGATCTGCAATGAAGAGTGATCTAGAAGGTGTGAGTTCGAATCTCAGCAAAAACGGTAAATTTTCAAGTTTAAAATTTTAATCTAATCTCAATACTAATGATATAAAAATTAAGGAAATAATAATTCTACAAAATTTCAGCTTATAAAAACTCCTCTAAGCCAAAAAATTTAAAAATTAAATAAGTTATAATATAAAAAATAATTTTTTCTTTTATTTTTTGAGTAGTCAGTGATTGTCATCATGATAGCCTTCACTGATTACCATCATGATTACCATCACGTGATGGTAATCACAAAGGTAAAGTAGCGTACTCACTTAATGTATGTGAGTGAGTATAGCATCACTCGTTTGAGTGATGGTAGGAATGATTGCCATCATTGTATGTTCGGGATTCACATTACAAAACCTGCAAATTTTACTGTTTGACAAATTCAATTTAAAAAGAAAAGTATTGATACTCATGTGTCCTGTCAAAGCACCAATTAAGATTCTAAGGTCTTTCCTTGGTAGTCTGAGAGCATCCGATATTTTATTCTTATTTTTAGGACCAAGAAGTCTTTTTATGGCTCCTTCCTCTACATTCCAGATACGAAAATGCTGTCTCTCCATCCATTCTCGTATGTTTGACTTCAACAAGCCAAAATCATAGTACGTCGACTTGTCATAAGCCTCCTTGTGTACTGCTTTTTTAGCTAATTGATCAGCTGTTTCATTACCTTCAATACCACTGTGTCCAGGTATCCATTTTAGGATGACTTCATTATCTTGCCCCAATGCTGTTAAACAAGAAATACAATCAAGAACTGTTAAAGACTTCACAACACAATTGTTTAAAGCCGTCAAAGCTGATCGACAATCTGAAAGAAAGCAAATTCTACAGCCTTTCAAATCCATATCCAAACAGTAATTAGCACCCTCACAAATAGCTTGAACGTCTGCCTGAAAGACAGAAGCATGATCTTGCAGTTTGTAGGATGAATTCAAACTCAGATTATTGCTGAACAAACCAATGCCAACACCCCTTTCTGATTTTGATGCATCAGTAAACACAAACATACAGTTATTCACCACCAAATCACAAGATTCAGCAGCATTATCTTCTGATACAACTACCTTAAAAGGTTTGTCAAAAACGTATTTTGACACTATATGATCCGATTCTAAGGTAAATAAACTTACACTCCTTAGAAATCGATTTAATTCCATATGACCTGTAGAAATTCAGTCATTAACCCATAATTTATTAACCCTCAATTTGGATGCACTTGTTTGAGCTGCAGCTTCGATTCTCACTCGAAGTGGAGTCCTGTTTACCTTTTGTTGCTTTCTTTGTACAAGTTGATTTCGGAAATGATAGGTTGTAAACCTTACCATTCCTAGCCTGATTGTGGGGCTGCCACCCTCCAGGCGAGGTTGTTTGTTGGATAGGCTTTTAATCTATCCTTTAAAGTACTTATCCCGGCACAGGGCTCGGTCGCCAGCGGTGCATTTAGCGGTATCAAGGGATACCACGAGAAGGTATGCACTTGACAATTGGTCAGCTTCGGAGTCAGACTTCGGCTTTCCCAATCCCCCACTCGAAGTGGAGGAAGCTCAAGAAATCTATCCAAAGCCAGTTTTGGAGTAGTTTTCCAAGCACCAAAAATTGACATTTCTGCTATTCTTTGCAGTTTCTCAGTTTTCTGAGAGGCAAAAACTTGTTTCATTTTATGCCTTCAAACAACACATCCATACATAATTCTTGGTAGAATGACTTGCTCATACAGCCAATACATCATATTGGGTTTTAATCCCCAGTTTTTACCAACAATTGATCTACAAGCCCAAAAGGACTTAATCACCGTACTTACAACGAAATTTACATGCAAATTCCAGTTTAATTTGCTGTCTAAGTAGATACCAAGATACTTTGCTTCATAACTGAATTCTATCCTTTGACCATACATAGCTGGAGGACGTAGCTCACCTAATTTATACTTCGTAGTGAAAGGAATTACAATTGTTTTGGCTGGATTTACTGATAAACCAACTTTATCACAAAAACATTCCATTGCCCTGTGGTGTACCACGTTTTACTATGATGAACACAACTTCACCGTTCAATGATGCGTGAACGATTCTCGATCTGAGCATGTTGCTGATCCACTGTATCATTCTTT